AAATTCTAAAATTCTAAAATTCTAAAATTCTAAAATTCTAAAATTCTAAAATTCCAGAAAATTCTAAAATTCCAGAAAATTCCAGAAAATTCTAAAATTCTAAAATTCTAAAATTCCAGAAAATTCTAAAATTCTAAAATTCTAAAATTCTAAAATTCTAAAATTCTAAAATTCTAAAATTCCAGAAAATTCTAAAATTCTAAAATTCTAAAATTCTAAAATTCTGAAATTCTAAAATTCTAAAATTCTAAAATTCTAAAATTCTAAAATTCTAAAATTCCAGAAAATTCTAAAATTCCAGAAAATTCCAGAAAATTCTAAAATTCTAAAATTCTAAAATTCTAAAATTCTAAAATTCTAAAATTCCAAAAAATTCTAAAATTCTAAAATTCTAAAATTCTAAAATTCTAAAATTCTAAAATTCTAAAATTCTAAAATTTTAAAATTCCAAAAAATTCTAAAATTCTAAAATTCTAAAATTCTAAAATTCTAAAATTCTAAAATTCCACTAAAATTCTAAAATTCTAAAATTCTAAAATTCTAAAATTCTAAAATTCTAAAATTCTAAAATTCTAAAATTCCAAAAAATTCTAAAATTCTAAAATTCTAAAATTCTAAAATTCTAAAATTCTAAAATTGTAAAATTCTAAAATCCAAATATCCAGATGTCTTCCCTCTCCTTACCTGATAAATTTCCAAATAACTGGCTCTAACCAAGTACTCTTGATTATGCGAAGCAGCCATATGCTCAAAAATGTGATCAATACATTTATAAATGACACCTCGTTGTTCTGAATCATTTGATTTTCCTTCCATCGTATGTGTTTTTCCAGTTCCCGTCTGTCCATAAGCGAAAATTGTCGCATTATATCCATTCAACACTGAATCCACCAAATCTCGAAACGTCTCCTCGTATAGATCGGATTGGGTTGAACTGGAAGAGGTTTTTGATTATAAAAACTCAGAAAAGCAAAATTTCCCCTGCAAAACGCAACAGAAACAAAGATTCTAGGACGATTTTGAGCCGAGATTTGAAGTTTTCGGCGTGAGAGACGCAGAGAAAGGCGACACACTGCGTCTCTAACCTCCAAACTTTAATTGGCTATATCTCGGCTCAAAATTGTCCTAGAATATTGATTTTCAGAGCGATTTGACGGAAATTTCGAGTGGTTCATTAGTTTCGATTTTTCTCAAAAAATTTGCTGTTTTAGAATGGCCTCGAAAAATTTGAAAATAGTTTTTTCTCCTAATCCTTCTATAGTTTTTTGGTGAATATATAATTTAAAAGTTTTAGCATAATTTTTTCAACATAATGTACTAAAACCAAGAATCTAGATCAATTTTGGGTCGAGATACGGCCATTTGGAGTTTAAGTGTTAGAGACGCAGAGAAACGAGAGTGTCTGAGTCTCTAACCCTGAAACTTCGAATAGCTATAACTCGACTCAAAACGGTTGTAGAAACTTCATTTTTAGTGCGTTTTGTTGGAAATTTCGAGCGATTCATTGGTTTTAATATTTTATGAAAATTACTGTTTCAAAATTGACTCGATAAACATTTTTAAAAAGTTAATCTCAATGGGAACTGCTTCGCCTTTTTTTGTGAAAAAATCTGATTATAAAATTTTGCATAATTTTCACTGAGAACTGAAACAAAAAGCAAGATTATAGGGCGATTTTGAGCCGAGTTATAGTTATTTGAAGATTTTGGGGTGAGAGACGCAGAGAAACGAGACACACTGTGTGTCTGACCCAAAACTTCGAAAGGCTATAACCCGGCTAAAAATTGTCGTAAAACCTTGATTTTTAGTGCATCTCGCTGGGAATTTTAAATGATTTTATAGTCCCAATGTTTTTTTAAAACTTTCTGTTTTAAAATTAGATGGTAAAGTTAAAAAAATATTGCATATTTCGATTGGAAAATTGGGTGGTACGTACTAAGGTTCCGTTTCAAATGTTTTTTTTTGAAACTTTTGACGATAAGTTGACTATTCGTTTAAATTTCTCACGCAACAATCAAAAATTTTCAAGCCTCAGAATAAACAAAAGCGTCAAAATGTCAAAAGAGTCGTTTTCAAAATAATTATAAAATTCAAAAGGTCAAAAGAGTCATTTGTCAAAAGATTCAAATTGAAATTCGTTGACTTTAGTTAATTATGATTAAAATGCATCAAAAGAGTCAAAGATGATTTTTATGCGAATAGGTGAAAGTGTGAAACAACGAAATGTGGTATAGTAGTGAGAAGCAGAGATGTCCTGCTTCCGGATTCTGGATTCTGGATTCTGGATTCTGGGTTCTGGGTTCCGTATTCCGTATTCCGTATTCCGTATTCTGGATTCTGGATTCCGGATTCCGGATTCTGGATTCTAGGTACCGTATTCCGTATTCCGTATTCCGTATTCCGTATTCCGTATTCCGTATTCCGGATTCCGGATTCCATATTCTGGATTCTGGATTCCGGATTCTGGATTCCGGATTCTGGATTCTGGATTTTGGATTCTGGATTCTGGATTCTGGATTCTGGACTTTCCGGAGAATAATAATAGCGTTGTAATCAGCCTGTTTGAGGGTACTAATGATTATTTTTCGTAACTTTCGAAATTATCCGAAACTTCCACTCTTCTTGAAACATTTAACACTTTTGACGAAATATGATTTCCACTATTTTTCATTTGCCACGTTCGACTATTTTGACGATTCACTTTTTTTTCGATTTCGAAACGTTTGACTATTTTGATGATTATTTTTCGTGAGAAAAAATTATTTTTGAGCAATTTGATTAATCGAAAAGTGTCAAATTTCACGTGATTTCATACATGAAAAATTTGAAACGGAACCTTAGTACGTACGCTGAATAATATGATTTCACAGAACTTTTTCGACAAATTGCACCTGAAATCAAGATTCTGAGACAATTTTGAGCCAAGTATTAAGGGTGAGAGACGCCAGAAAAACAAGACACACTGCGTCTCTAACTCTGAAACTTCAAGTAGCTGTAATTCGGCTCAAAATTGTTTTAAATGATTTGTTTTTGAAGTATTTTCAACAAAATTACCAGGGTTACGAAAAAATTTTTATCTCAAAAATTTCCGATTTTTCAGATAATTTAAGTTCAGAGTGTCATAAACTACCAAATGTCTTTAAAAACGCAAAAAACTCGGCCCACAATAGTCCCAAAAAATTTAGTGCGTTTTGTAGAAAAAACGATATATATTTTTTGTATAACATGTAAGATTAGAAATTTCAAGAATAAAACCGAATGAGAAAGCTCTAGTGAAAATCGTATTTTTTTAAATGATATTTTAGCACAAATGATGATTTAATCAAGCAATTTTGCACACCACAAAACTGATGGCTGTAATTTGAAACAGGAAATTTTCGAAAAAGTCGAAAAACTTGGAACAATTTGGATTTTCGTAGTTTCGAGTTTCCACTGAAAACAAATCGTAACACAGATTTTGAAGGAATTTTACGAAACAGTAATTTTTTGAAATTTATGAATACGAAACCTTTTGAGATTCAAAAAAACTGCTGTTTCAAAGTTTCTTGCATAAAAATATGTAAACACTTTCTGCGTTTTTTGCACGATTTATTCTTTCCGAAGATTGTTTTATTTACAGTATGATGTGTATGGAATTCATGCAACAATTCAAAAATATCAAATCAAATTCACAAAAATGTTTGAAACAGTAAAAATTTGAAGACAAATAAATGTTACCGGTAAAAGCTCTATTAGAACGCCCGGACCGTCCACTTTGAGCCTAAATATCTTACTTTTTTCTAAAAGATATCAAAAAGTTGCTAACTGTTAAAATTTTTATCATGATATCAGCAACATTTTATCAGTTAACCATTTTTTTGATATCTTTCACAAAAATGAGATACCGTAAAACCTCTAATAGAACGACACCCGGATCGTCCACTTTGAGCCTATATCTCATTTTCTGTGAAAGATATAAAGATATCAAAAAGTGGCTAACTAGTAAAATGTTGCTGATATCCTGATAAACATTTTACTAGTTAACCACTTTTTGATATCTTTCAAAAGAAGTGAGATATATAAGCTCAAAGTGGACGATCCGGGTGTCGTTCTATTAGAGGTTTTACGGTACATGGGCTCAAATTTGACGATTCGGGTGGCGTTCTATTAGAGTGTGGGTACGGTAAATTAATTTTTTCAAAATTGGTTCTTCTAAAAGCTTTTCTTGTTAGTTTTTTTGTGTTTTCCTCACTTGTATAAATGAAGAATTCCAAAAAAATTTCAACTATAAACTCTCTTGAAACAGTAAAAATTTGAGATTTTCAAATATAAAAAAAAACTCACTTCTCATCATAAATGGCGTCAAAAGTGAAGTCTTTCGTTGGCTCATCTTGCTCTTTCGGATTCTTCAACTCAATTTGTCCCCGTTGTGGTCGCATATGGACGATTCTGGAAACAATTTATAAATTTTGGGCCAATTTCATTAGTTTTCGATTTCAGATTCTATTGAAATTAACAGGATCGGTTACTGTAGACCTATCCAATTATCTCGCAAATTTTCAAAGAATTCCTATTAGTTTCAGTCGAAATATTTCACTTTCAGCACAAAAAATTCAGTACTGACTATGCTAATTTAATTTTTTACATTTTTCTAAGCGCTGCTCTGTCCCCGAGAGAATTTGAGAAAGCGCCGACCACCTAATCGCCTTGGCGTCGGGGATGTGGTGGGCGCCAGTGGGAGCAAGGCCGGGGGTTCGATCCCTCTTGTGGTTTTATTTCTTCATTTCTTCTTTTCGGCAAAAAATTCGGGGAGTACAATGATTCGGGGGTACAATCTACCAATGATTCTGGGGTACAACCCATTTCATTTAGGGGTACAACGCTTGTGATTCGGGGGTACAATTTTTTTTGAGGGAGTTTCTGAATTCCTGAACTTCAGAGCTTGAAAATCTCAGAATTCTTAGAATTTCAGAACTTTGTAATTCCAGTAATCGGAATCTGAAAATTTCGGATCTTCAGAATCTGAGAATCTGAGAATTTCCGAATTTCAGAACTTCAAAATCTCAAAGTTTCGGGACGTCAGAATCTCAGTATTTCGCAATTTCTGAATTTCCAAAAATTACGACAAAAGTTTTTCACTTCTCATTGTCACATTGTTCTTTCTGATTTTAAAAAATCTCGAAATTTCCGGAAAGCATACAATGGAGAACTGTAAAACATACTTGCAAAATCAGGGCCCGGCGGGGCCGGGTTCTCCAAATTTGAATTGTTTTTTTTTTTGAAATTTCAGTCATTTTTTCAAAATTTATTGTGAAAAAATCATTTTTTTATGGACACTCTTATTTTGAAAAATTTTTTACTTTTTCTATGGACCCCAAAAGTTTTTTTTGAAAAGATAGGAAAATTTTCTTCTGAAAAGAGACGGGCAGGGCCGGGCCCTGAAAATTCTGAAAAAAAGCCCGGCCCGGCCCGTTGTAAGTATGCTGTGAAATATTCTATCAATTTTTCTCAATCGCTTTTTTTTTCTCAATTCTATCTCATTCCTTCTGTTTCTCAATATTCCTTCGTTTTTTTTCCTCCTAATTTTATTCAGTTTTTCTCTTTTTCTCAATTTTCGTGGTAATTGGAATTTTTCTCATTTCTTTTCATAATTTTCTAGATCATTGAATGAAAAAAAAACAATCACTATTTAGTTATTTACGCACAAAAATTAAAAAATCCAAAAAATTGGCCCAAAATGAACTATTTCTTTTCGAAAATTGTTCGAACAACATACGCCCTTTACTCGAATATGGAACGATAGTCACTTCTCCAATCCTAAAGGATCATATTATAAAATTGGAATCGGTGCAAAAGTCATTTGTTTTCAGAATTTTCAAAAAATTCAGGATGGCATACACTTCATACTTTGAAGCACTGGAAGAATGTCAGCTAAGTTCCTTGGAGTATCGCAGGCTCTATAATGATTTAGTCTACACGTATAAAATTATTGTTTCCAAAGAAATTATCATGGAGGTTCCAATTTTCGAAATATATGTAATCATGCTGGATCATTGCGACGTCACAAATACTATCTCAAATCACTTATCAAAAACTCAACAAAAATATCTTCTCAATTTCTCTCTAATAGAGTAATCAGATGCTGGAACTCTTTACCCGCAAAAGTGTTTCCGGTGAAGCCCTCGTCAGCGGCTTTCAAAAATCGACTATTATCCTGTGATCTAAAACATTTTCTTGTCTTGAATTCAACTAATTACTAACTCGGTTTTTCCTTCATCTCCCAATTACTACAAATGTATGTCCCTGTTATATCTCCTAGTTTCATAGACATTTCACGTGTTAGTGGTTTTCTCCCCTTCGTTGAAATAAATAAATAAATAAATAAACAATAAAACACTACAAAAAATATATACCGTAAAACCTCTAATAGAACGACACCCGGATCGTCCACTTTGAGCCTATACAGGGTGGCCGATAAGTATAGGACGTTTTGAAAGTGCTCCCATTTTTTCAATTTGAGGATTTTTCGAGAACAACCTTTATTAAACAACAAAAAATAAGCAGAAAATTTGATTTTACAAGAGAAATTCGAAGTTGGATCCACGAGCTTTGACACAGGCTCTCAAACGTTTCTTCACCGAATTGACAGTGCGCCGCAGGTATCCGTCGTCGATCGAAGCCCATGCTACCTCGAGAGCGGCCTTCAAGTCATCGACAGTAGCAAAAACTTTTCCCGCGATCTTCCCTTCCAACATGCCCCAAACGCTGAAATCCATCGGATTGAGATCCGGGCTGGAAGCAGGCCACAAGTTCTTGTCCAGGAATCCAGGGAAATGCGCCTCCAAGACGGCCAATGTCGATCTCGAGCCATGGGACGGTGCCCAGTCTTG